TGAGCTGAGGCCGGGTTAGAGTGAGCAGAGGCGGCGGGGTTGAGAACGGCATAGCCGGCGGATCCGACAAAGGAGCGGCAACCACATGTGACGACCCCGGGCTGGACTCCGCTTTGTCCACGGTGAAAGCCAGCACAGATCAGCTCTAGGCATGACGAAGCGGATATCGTCTTCTTTTGGAAGACCAAACAAAGTAGTTTCACTTTCACAACGAAACACACAGCGTCTTCAAGACATGGCGGCAGCGGCCACAATACTACAGTGAGAATAAAAGTTACGCCTTCTTTCTTTGTGTGAACATTTGGGTGGCGTTATGCAAATCTTCCCACATAGTGAGGTAGATATGTGGGGGCGTGTTAGAACGAGCCGTTTTAGGTAGGCGTGGTTAACGCTTAACTTTTATAAAGAATATCTCTTTGGATTTGAGACTTTAGTCTTTGCAACTTTACAGATCTTCTTTATGCACCAAGAGCTTGTAAAACTCCAAAGAGAAAGGAAAAATTTAAATCGCATCATATGACCCCTTTAAAAAAAAAATGAAGTGCACACAGTTGCATAATTTTATAGCGCCAGCAAACTGAATATTCAATATATTGGCCAGTCCTACTTCGGAGTATGTGAGTTCTTACCATGCTCTGTGGACATTGTCGTTTCTCAGGATTTTCACAGATACCCGTGTCTCTCCGAGGAACACGTCCTGTGCCAAGTTACCATTATTCCACAGCTCCACCCTGCATGGCAGAGTACAAGAGAGTAAGCATTAACTAAATGTTCATTTATAAAAACACACACACAAACAGAGCTCTGTTTGAACTTCTCCCATTTTCAGTCAAACGGAATCTGAAATTCAGCACGCAGAGCACAGATGCAGTTGCATCAAAGTGGGTTAGTCATTTTCTCTCCACTACCGAACGAAGCTTTTTCTCACATCAAACATGCACACAAATAAATTGCATTTGAGTGGAAAATAAAATCCAACAACACGCCAAAACCATGCGTTAACACACACGCACACGCACATTAGTGTCATGATCTAATGTGCCGTCTTGGTAGTTTCACCTACTCTTACCTGTCAGCTTCTGCAGAGGGCTATATGGGACAATTCAGAGTGGCACATTACGTGTCAAATCAGATCAAAGCCACATTCATCAAAACATTTGTAACAGAACATACAGTGGCCAAATCAAATAAGCATTCATCCCCGATTACCATATTCATCCACAAACAGTTGGTTCGTACAGTTCTATGCTGTTTAAAAAAAGACTTTAAACAAAAGTCAAAAGGTCAAAAACAAAACAAAGCAAAGAAAAACAAAACAAATCCAGCCAGGAGAGGACATACAGTCGCCAAATCAAATAAGCATTCATCCCCGATTACCATATTCATCCAAAAGTCGGTTTGTACAGTTATATGCTGTTTAAAAAAGACTTTAAAAAAAAGTCAGAAGAGAAGAGAAGAGAAGAGAAGAGAAGAGAAGAGAAGAGAAGAGAAGAGAAGAGAAGAGAAGAGAAGAGAAGAGAAGAGAAGAGAAGAGAAGAGAAGAGAAGAGAAGAGAAGAGAAGAGAAGAGAAGAGAAGAGAAGAGAAGAGAAGAGAAGAGAAGAGAAGAGAAGAGAAGAGACATACAGTGGCCAAATCAAATAAGCATTCATCCCCGATTACCATATTCATCCACAAACAGTTGGTTCGTACAGTTCTATGCTGTTTAAAAAAAGACTTTAAACAAAAGTCAAAAGGTCAAAAACAAAACAAAGCAAAGAAAAACAAAACAAATCCAGCCAGGAGAGGACATACAGTCGCCAAATCAAATAAGCATTCATCCCGATAACCATATTCATCCAAAAGTCGGTTTGTACAGTTATATGCTGTTTAAAAAAGACTTTAAAAAAAAGTCAGAAGAGAAGAGAAGAGAAGAGGACTCACTTGATCTCTAGTTTCTCTATGTCCTCCTCCTCCACGTGAAAATGTGACCTCCCTTTGTAACTGCTTGATCTTGTGACCTGCCGAAACATTGTGAATTGTGAACTTATGGCTAACGCTACAGATGCATGTGACAAGATACATTAATCAGTTGTTTAGGGCAAGACTGTAACCATGTCTCATACCATTTTTAATAAAGCAAGGAAATAAATGAAAATTCTAGGTCTAGTTCTAGTTGGTAAGTAATCATCTTGAACTCTTTGTAATATTTAAAAATAAGCACATGCATTTATTTGTATACCTAATATACTATATTTTTTATGAAAACGGTCATATTTGAGAAACAAGTTGAATAGTTTAATATTACTGTCAGTTGTTTAACATTTGTAATGTTACAAAAGTTGTAAAATATTAAATGTTTCACTGCTTTAATCTCACCACCCTCTCTTTCAACGTTAAAACTAACACTTCATGCTGGAATTTGTGCTCTGCTTCTGTGAAGAGTAAACCTGCTTACTTGACTCGACTGGCCATCTCAATCATTTCGACATTGACGAGCGTCGTTAGACCGCTGAGGCAGAGCAGCCTAAAAATGTAACTTTTAAACATTTTGTCATCCTAACTAACAGAGCACTGCGTAATGGAGTACAGTAGAACAGTGAGAATTTCAAATACTGGGAGGGACAATTTGCCCATTTCTAATTACTGTGGAGGGGGACTTGTCCCCCATACAGCCCTGGTTTGAGAGGTTAAGAAACAATTTAGAGTCACCAAATCAACATTCATTAACTAATATTCAATAAATGGATGAGGCTGTACCTCAAAATGAAATGTCTCATCAAACTGAGGGTCACTGGTTTTCTTCTTCACTTTAGTTTTTTTCTGGTCAGACCTGAGCGAGAGAGAGAGCGAGAGAGAGCGCGAGAGAGAGAGAGAGAGAGAGAGAGAGAGAGCGCGAAACAGAAAGACAGAGCAGGATGTTATTATTGAATCAGAGCGGATGTTATGTACTCATTTCTGCCTAGATCAGAAACAGAGGCTGAAACTGTCTTATGACTGACTGATTTAGAAACAATCACAATAGAATATTTTGACTGTTGAAGTATTGACTTCATTAGAAACCATCATGTTTTATGCAAACATCTGTTCCTTTACTGTAAACCTTGTGATTTTAGGGCACCTTCAATTTGACTTTATGTTTATAAACCCACCTGGCGGGCCCTACGAGTGTTACTGTAGCATATGGATCACAGTTCTGCCCACTTATCAACGGCAAACCCTGACATGCAATTATCCTGCAAAAGACACAAAGATGAGCTTGTTGTTAAAATAGTAAAGATGGTAACACTTCAGCATAGGGACCAGTTCTCGCTATTACCTAGTTGCTTATTAGCATGCTATTATTAACATATTGGCTATTTATTAGTACTTATAAAGCACATATTGTGCATGACAATATTCTACATTCTTAATCCTACCCAATACCTAAACTTAACAAATACCTTAGTAACTATTAATAATCAGCAAATTAGGAGTTTGAGGCAAAAGTCATAGCTAATGGTTTAGCGAGAATTGGACCTTAAAATAAAGTGTGACTGTAAAGATCAAACAGAAGAATGTTCTGTTTATACTGTGATTAAACAACATACATTCAAGTCAATATGAAACCATATTCTTTATCCATTTTACTATGGCAAAATTCCAAGTGAAACAGGATATTTAGTCTAAATAATGCCTAAATATCTATTTGACCTATCCCATAAAATACAAAGCACCAATATCACTGAATCATTAACAAAAGACCCACGTGTGTTGAATGTTGACTTTAAACAAAAGTCAAAAGGTCAAAAACAAAACAAAAAAAAAAAACACAAAAACAAAAAACAAAACAAAGCAAAAAAAAAACAAAAAAAAAACAAGGCAACGCAACGCAAAGCAAAACAAAATAAATCCAGCCAGGAGAGGACATACAGTTGCCAAATCAAATAAGCATTCATCCCCGATTACCATATTCATCCACAAAAAGTCAGTTTGTACAGTTATATGCGGTTTAAAAAAAGACTTTAAACAAAAGTCAAAAGGTCAAAAACAAAAAACAGCAAAGCAAAGCAATGCAAAACAAAAAGACCATAAGCATGTATTAATAAAGCAAATGAGGTGGTTTTAAATTCATGTTTGCCATCCAGGCCAGTACTGCAGATTTTCATTCATGAAATCAATCAAGCAATCAAAACTGTCAGTTTTTTTTCAAAAAAATTTACGGTGACGCTTGATAGTTTGTGAACCCTTAAAATAGTAAAGATGGTAACACTTCAGCATAGGGACCAGTTCTCGCTATTACCTAGTTGCTTATTAGCATGCTATTATTAACATATTGGCTATTTATTAGTACTTATAAAGCACATATTGTGCATGACAATATTCTACATTCTTAATCCTACCCAATACCTAAACTTAACAAATACCTTAGTAACTATTAATAATCAGCAAATTAGGAGTTTGAGGCAAAAGTCATAGCTAATGGTTTAGCGAGAATTGGACCTTAAAATAAAGTGTGACTGTAAAGATCAAACAGAAGAATGTTCTGTTTATACTGTGATTAAACAACATACATTCAAGTCAATATGAAACCATATTCTTTATCCATTTTACTATGGCAAAATTCCAAGTGAAACAGGATATTTAGTCTAAATAATGCCTAAATATCTATTTGACCTATCCCATAAAATACAAAGCACCAATATCACTGAATCATTAACAAAAGACCCACGTGTGTTGAATGTTGACTTTAAACAAAAGTCAAAAGGTCAAAAACAAAACAAAACAAAAAAAACACAAAAACAAAAAACAAAACAAAGCAAAAAAAAACAAAAAAAAAAGCAAGGCAACGCAACGCAACGCAAAACAAAATAAATCCAGCCAGGAGAGGACATACAGTTGCCAAATCAAATAAGCATTCATCCCCGATTACCATATTCATCCACAAAAAGTCAGTTTGTACAGTTATATGCGGTTTAAAAAAAGACTTTAAACAAAAGTCAAAAGGTCAAAAACAAAAAACAGCAAAGCAAAGCAATGCAAAACAAAAAGACCATAAGCATGTATTAATAAAGCAAATGAGGTGGTTTTAAATTCATGTTTGCCATCCAGGCCAGTACTGCAGATTTTCATTCATGAAATCAATCAAGCAATCAAAACTGTCAGTTTTTTTTCAAAAAAATTTACGGTGACGCTTGATAGTTTGTGAACCCTTTAGAATTTTCTATATTTCTGCATAAATATGACCCAAACTATAATCAGATTTTCACACAAGTCCTGGAAACAAGCCCAAACAAACAAATGAGAAAAAAATATTTTCTTTTTCATTTATTTAATGAGAAAAGTTATCCAGTGTTACATATCTGTGCGGTGCAAAAGTATGTGAATCTCTAGGATCAGCAGGTAATTTGAAGGTGAAATTAAGGGTGTTTTCACACATGGCCTGTTGTTTCGGAACCTGGCGCGTTTCCCCCCTTAGGTCCATCTGTTCAGAGGTGTTCTCAATCAGTGAAATTACTATCAGGTGTCAGTGCGTGCCCGGTTTCATTTAAAGAACAGGGATCTATCAAAGTCTGATCATGTTTGTGGAAGTGAATCATGGCACGAACAAAGGAGATCTCTGAGGACCTCAGAAAAAGAGTTGTTGCTGCTCATCAGGTTGGAAAAGGTTACAAAACCATCTCTAAAGAGTTTGGACTCCACAAATCCACAGTCACAGATGTACAAATGGAGGAAATTCAAGACCATTGTTACCCTCCCCAGAAGTGGTTCACCAACAAAGATAACTCCAAAAGCAAGACGTGTAATAGTCCACAAAGTCGCAAAAAGGAACCCAGGGTAACTTCTAAGCAACTAAAGGCCTTTCTCACATTGGCCACCATCAGGAGAACACTGAACAACCATGGTGTGCATGGTAGAGTTGCAAGGAGAACGTTACTACTGTCCAAAAAGAACATTGCTGCCCGTCTGCAGTTTGCTAAAGATCATGCGGACAAGCCAGAGGGCTATTGGAGATATGTTTTGTGGATGGATGAGACCAAAATAGAACTTTTTGGTTTAAATGAGAAGTGTTGTGTTAGGAGAAAAGAACACCATGCATTCAAGCATAACAACCTTATCCCATCTGTGAAACATGGTGGTGGTAGTATCATGGTTTGTATAATACATATATACTGTATATCAACAAATGAAATACACTGAGGCCCAATAGGGCAAGTGACTGTCAGTGAACTGGCACTGATATCCTGTCACACTGCCCCTCTTCTTTATTGTTGAGCACTGATGTTGACTTTTTCAGAGGTTACACTGCGTCACATTAAAATGTGAATGAATGAAAGAATAAGACGATGAAAGGCGAACAAGCATAAATGAAAGTGTCAGATAAGAATGCTGAAAACAGAAGCACTGCTATCCAAGACAGGAAGTAATTCACACTTGCAGTTGTCATGGTGACAGCCATGAAGCGGCGAAGGAAGGTGAGAAAGAACGACAGAGAGCGAGAGAGCAAGAAAGAGAAAAAAGCAGTGTGACGGCAAAACAAAACCACAGGAGCAGCGCAGTACGAACTTCCTGCCGTCACGGCATCACTTCCTCTTTCGTCAACCTGCTCTGTGGGAAAGTGAATGAAGAGCGATGGCCAACATTAAACACACACACACACACGTCAGCAACTCTGTGTTGAGTCAAAGCATTTTTCACACCGTTAAAGAAAATACATGCACCCTTGTAGAGGTGTGAAGATGAATTTCACAGGTACTCTCCTCCACCCAGACGACACACACCTCTGAAGTTATCAACACAGCATCCACATGTTGCAGAAAGCATGTGAAGCACCATGAAACCACAGTAGTAAACCAAATACAATTTCTAGTTCCAATTTCCATCATTTCGCATGTTCACGGTTCTCTGATGTTGGTTAATATTCACATCACTTGCAGAAAATCTAATAAGTATTTTGATTTTATTTTATAAAATAATTTTAGAACGATTTATTTACAGCATATGGCTATACAATTGGGTTAAAAAAGAAATTGTGATTAATTTGTCATGAACATTATCATGTATGATAATGATACATATCACCTTATAAGAAAACGTCTCATGATGCTGCAAAAAGAACAGAGTCACTGTGATGAAAATAAGTTCAGTCTGCACAAGACCTTATTCACTGGTGATGACAATAATAATAATAATAAATACATATTTATAACTCTAATTCTATAAAAACGAAGACAAAAAATCTGTTATTGAAAGATTATAATTGTAATTTGATCATTTTAATGTATATAAAATGAAATAATATATATTATAGATAGATAGATAGATAGATATTAATATTATAAAAAATTAAGACAGAAATATAGTACTATTGTAACAATACAATTGCACTTCAACTAAAAAAATATATTCTAAATTAAATACAATTCTACATAATACTGTTATAATTATATATATATATATATATATATATATATATATATAGCATATTTTATTTTTCACTAAACATTACAATACAAATATATGTCTTAAAAGGTTGAGAGTTTGAAATAATTTATTTAAACAGAAAACTGCAGGGTGACCTTAAGGTCTATAAACAGGTTCATAAACACTTTTTGTTACAAATCAGATAAAATGCTAAAAATGTCGGTACACAGACATGTTCAGAAATGCCAGTGTGAAAATAAATGTACAGCATGCAGAGATGGAACCCCCCCTCTGTCCTCAGTCACAGGAAAATAATCAAGACAATGCTGATTGGCTCATGGAACAACATAAACCTCCCAGTTACAATCCTTCACTAGTGACTACATTGAGCTGTGACGGCAGGGCAAAAAAAAAAAGCCCATTCTACACTTTTAAAGCTCCTCTTAAAAAGACACTGGATACTACAATATGGCTATTGGACTGGATACTAGTGAAACAACTACTACTGACATAGCCCATATGCGTTTGACATAAAAAATGTTTTAACTGTATACTTTTAGAACACACAGTTACTTATGAATTGCCAACAATGGAGAAAGATGATTTTTAGAACCACATGCTGTATTTAAGACATCTACCAGCAAGGGATAAAGGGGCCCTTCTGAGTAGCCAAACTTGGCATCTTAATTCGATATCCTGTTTCACGTTTAAGAATGTAACAGTACAAATGTACAATGGGTTATGAATGCCAATTCATGTTGAGCTGAAATACATGCACGGACAGACAAGCATCACTTACTGAACCACAAGCTGTTGGCAGATGGAACCATTCTCTGTGATCAGTTCATTCAGCTTCATCTCTAAGTGAACCTTCCCCTGTAAAAGTAAAAAGACTTATTATTGGATAACACAAGCCAACAGACTCCAGAACCCAGTGAGCCAGCATTCACAAATTACATAGAAAAGAAAAAAAAAATTATACAATATATATATATATATATATATATATATATATATATATATATATAATTTGTATAAATAAATAATGCTTTGATATCTTATCGAACGCAATGGCTTTTAATTCAGACATTCAGACTTTTTAAATGTTTGTTAAGTTCATAAATACTTTTAGGGCCACTGTATTTGATATTCAGATGATAGGATCTTTCGCACAAACCATCATTCAGACGTCTGCTTAAAACAAAAAAGTAATCTGAAATACAGAATGTGTTTTGAGGGCCGTGGCACTGAAGATCAACTACTGGCATGTTTATGATATAATATGATATATATTGAAATAACCTATCCAGCCAGTCAAATTTGTTGAGGCTGATAATGTTGGAATGAGAAAGATTGCAAACAGAGGAGAGGTGAGGAGGAAAGGACAGGGAGGGAGGAAGATAGAGAAGAAAAACAAAATAAAAACACCCACATACTCCTACGCAATATTTTGTGCAAGTTCCTTTGAGAAATGACGCCCAAAATGCACCAATAATTAAATGTTAACAGATGTCCAAAGTCGATACTAAAGAATCACGTTTTTAAAATAGTTACAAGTTTTGTTTTTTAAATACTTCAAAATGCAAATCTATTCTAATCACTTAACCCTGCAGAAGACAAAAGTAGATCTATTTGCAAGATCACATCTACAATGGATTAATTATAGAGCAATTCGTTTCACAAGCATGTGGAAACAAAAAAACTAGTTTAGTGTAAATAAGTTGTTCACGTTTTTTTAGAGTACGTAAGGGCTTAAAAAAGCGATATAGGAACGTCTTGTGATTTCAGCCAGTACTGGGTGGCTCTGAACATTATCTGACAGAACTGCCACCCACCCTTTTCTCGTCCTCAGGGTTAAAGACACATACACCACAGTGTTTAACCGCTGTCGTAAAGTAACACTGCAACATGTAGACTCTAGGGATATATGAAAGCTATCAAGATTTTTCAGCATTTTGACAATTTTCTATATATATATCATGATATTTATCATCAGATTTTTAGTCTGAATAAGCATGAGTGTGTCCTTTTTAGTCAGAAAAAGGTGATTGTTGACAAGCAGTTTAAAAATGATTAAATGTAAGAACTGCAAAATGCAGTAAAACGGTCAAATGTTTCGGTCACACTTTATTTTAAGGTCCAATTCTCACTATTAACAAATCATTTACTATGACATTTGCCTCAATAAACTCCTAATTTGCTGCTTAATAATACGTATTAAGGTAGATCAGGTATTTCAGGTATTGGGTAGGATTAGGGATGTAGAATATGGTCATGCAGAATATGTGCTTTATACAGTAACTACTAATAAACAGCCAATATGTTAATAATAGGCATGCTAATAAGCAACTAGTTAATAGTGAGAATTGGTCCCTATACTAAAGTGTTACCAAAGTTTAAAAATGGTATTTTTTCTAAATGAATACTGTTACAAATAATCCCTTTTATTTATATGCACCAGTACAACAATACACTATAATAAACATGTTTTTACAAAAATATTTTAATATATGAAAGGTTACACATAGACTTCCCAAGAACAATTCTGTGTGATTGCAAACAAATCACTGAATCGGAGTCTGAATCTAATAATTGACAAAACAAAAAAAAAATGATGATCAATTGTAAAGTCAGTGAAGTCGCAAAGCGACTAAGAAGGGAGGATTGTGAAACTAGTCTGCAAACATGGATGCTCTGAGTTAAGCTGTGCAAAGAAGCTGAAATGTGACAAACTATTTTATAATGAAATAGTCTAGTTTATTAAAGTGTTTTATTACTTTAATTACATTTTTAACCATGTGAGTGCCTTGAAGTATTATGACTTTTTTTGTTTTAGATGACTTCTTTGTTTAAATCAGACTTCTGATTTATGGACACATCCTATCATCATATGCAGTGGCCCTAAACATATTTAGACACTTAACAAACACAGTATAAAAAGTTTAAAAAGAAAACAAATAAAAAGGCAAATAAAATTAGCACAATATTCAAAATATTGCCAAAAACTGACGTTATCAATACGCATATAAAGTGTAGAGACACTTATGCAGAAGTTTGGTTGCTTGGTTTACTTTCCTCGGTTGAAAAAATGGCAAATCGCTATTTGTAATTGTCTTTCCATTGTGTGTGTGTGTGTGTGTGTTTTAACAAATACACTGCAAAAGTATTTTTTTCACAAATACAATCGCAAGTATTCTAAATATCTCTATATTCCGATTAAAACTGATGTTATCTACACTTACGTAGAAACTCTGTTTGCTAGTTTAACTTTCTTTGGTTGGAAAAGTGGAAAACTGCTATTTGTAATTATACATTGCAAAAATATTTACGCAAGTATTTAAAAAGTGTTTCAAATTAAAAGCGATGTTATCAATACACATACAAAAAGTGGAAACTCTTATGCAGAAACTTGCTTGCTTGATTTACTTTCCTCATTAATTTCCAAAAGTAGCAAACCCCTACTTGACATTGTCTTTCCGTTGTGTATGTTTTCTCTTTTTTTTTGAAACAGACTTTTTACAAAAACAAAGTCCTTTACATAAACACTTTTTGTTTCTGATACAGTCCACACCCCCTGCCCCTGGTTCTGCTGAACAGTGAATCATACTTGTGTACAAAACAGATCCGTGCATACACCATACACAAAAACAGGATGTAGAGTTGGTCCTGCATCTGCTTTCAAGTCATTGGACCACATATAAGTGCTGACTAATCATACATTGATCTCATTGGGTATGGCGAGGCAATGAGTAATCATAAACTCACCCGATTGGCCCAAACCATGGCTGGAGACTAACCACAGAAGGGAAGTAAGGTCGTGTATTCATGTATTGCTCTGTTGGGTGTGTGTTTGTGTATTAAAATGATAACTTCTATGCCATCTAACCGTTCACTCACCTGAACTTCTGAGTGTGGATCCACAGGCTGTAACTGGAACCAGTTCTCTTTCCCGCAGTACTTATATAGATCTTCCTTCCTGATGGCTACTTTCCCTACAAACACACATGCAAGCCTTAGTTGACATGTACACTGTGTATTAGTCTTGTAAATGAGACAAAACAAGGGCAAAAGATACTGACCTACAGCTAGACCCCTTATTTGGAACATGCTCTTAGCGTACACGTAGAAGGACAGGCATTGGAATGGGCGTGGAATTTCAAAGTAGAAGTCCTCGCCATAGAACGGACTAAAGCACATGAAAAGGGAATGTTAATCACAAGCACAGTTTGTTTTTACAAACTTACCTGCATTAACAAAATACCTGCAAAAAATAAATATAATCAATATCACCTGGCTGTTACAGATCAAACTGTACAGCATGGCACGAGCATCACAATGGGTTTGATTCCCAGGAAAAGCAAGGACTGATAAAAAGTGTACCTTGAATTCAGGTCGCTTCGAATAAAAGCATCTGCTATATGTATAAATGTAAATGCATGTTATTTATGTTTTGCAGTACAGTAATGAGAATGATATTTTTTGCATTATATCATGCTCTAACAAGGTGCAATGCAAAAATAATTAAAAAAAATTCTCCACAAATTAAAAAAAAGGCATGATGCAATACATCATAAGAGTATTCTGTCATACAGCATTTATTTCTAGAACTTCGTAGAACTTGTGATTTGCCACATAATACTCTGTAAATAATATTGTAAAAAAAAGGCCACAATCTACTGTATTAATATGAAGGAATTTTCCATATTTATTTTTTTACAGGTTTTTTACCTAGGCTATATTTTGAATTTTGCACTTCATTACATTGTGTTTTACTGCATTTACTTGCATTGTCCTAGCAGACAATTTCCAGTACATTTTACTTTTTGTACAGAATATTACAGTATATTGTATTCTAAATACAGAAACAAATTCAGGATCAAATTCAGGAACAAATAACGAAACGCGCTGCAAATACTCACAACACCCAAATGCGCTGCAAATACTCGCAACACCAAAATACCACGCGCTGCAAATACTCACAACACCCAAATACCCAAACTTTTTTACCTAGGCTATATTTTGAATTTTGCACTTCATTACATTGTGTTTTACTGCATTTACTTGCATTGTCCTAGCAGACAATTTCCAGTACATTTTACTTTTTGTACAGAATATTACAGTATCACAACACCCAAATACCGAAACCGCGCTGCAAATACTCACGACACCTAAATACAGAAACACGCTGCAAATACTCACGACACCCAATATACAGAAATACACTGTAAATACTCACGACGCCCAAATACAGAAATACACTGTAAATACTCACAACACAAATACAGAAACACGCTGCAAATACTCACAACACAAACAAATACAGAAACACGCTGCAAATACTCACAACACCCAAATACAGAAACACGCTGCAAATACTCACGACACCCAATATACAGAAATACACTGTAAATACTCACGACGCCCAAATACAGAAATACACTGTAAATACTCACAATACTCACGGCACCCAAATACCGAAATACTCACAACACAAACAAATACAGAAACACTCTGCAAATACTCGCAGCACCCAAATACAGAAACACACTGTAAATACTCAGAACACCCAAATACAGAAACACTCTGCAAATGACTCATAACACAAACAAATACAGAAACACGCTGTAAATACATCAGAACACATCGGAAATGTTTAAAGGAACAGCAAAGTGACGAACATGGTTGGGACATTGCTTATCAATGTTTGCTCTGAAAGGTGAGGTTTTTGTTTATTTTAACATCCTGATCAATACGCAAAAATAAATAAAAATAAATAAATAAAATAAATTAAAAAAATGTGGTACTTTTAACCATGGTTAATTTTAGTTTTGTTGGCATTGCTGTTTGGCATTGTTGTAGTCTGTGCTGCGCTGCAAATACTCACGGCACCCAAATACCGAAATACTCACAACACAAACAAATACAGAAACGCACTGCAAATACTCGCAGCACCCAAATACAGAAACACACTGTAAATACTCAGAACACCCAAATACAGAAACACTCTGCAAATTACTCACAACACAAACAAATACAGAAACACGCTGTAAATACATCAGAACACATCGGAAATGTTTAAAGGAACCGCAAAGTGACGAACATGGTTGGGACATTGCTTATCAATGTTTGCTCTGAAAGGTGAGGTTTTTGTTTATTTTAACATCCTGATCATACGATTCCTTAGCTTTTTTTTATATATATATATATTCTAAATAAGCTAATGAAATACACAATTACTTCAACTATGAAAGGTTATGTAAGCTGGATAACTTACTTTTACAACTTCCCTTACAAAAATTAACCTTGGCTTTACTATTAAAATAAATTTAAAAAAAAATTTATGTACAAAATAAATATAAATAAAAATAGTTACTAGTTAACCCATGGTAACCACAAATTAACCATGGTTTTGCTACACTAACCATAGTATTTGTACAACTGTGATTATACAAATGGTAATCAATACGCAAAAATAAATAAAAATAAATAAATAAAATAAATTTTAAAAATGTGGTACTTTTAACCATGGTTAATTTTAGTTTTGTTGGCATTGCTGTTTGGCATTGTTGTAGTCTGTGCTACTTGCAGTGCGTTTTTGTTTTTAGTTGTGTTGTGAGAATAAAGATGATAAAGATGTATTCTTAATTTGATGGTGCTTTTTCTATCTGCATGTGTTTTATTAAGTTGCAGTGCATTGTCTGTCGGCCACCATACAATAAGCTTTTCGGCAGTACAACATAGAAATGGTAAACGATCGAAAGATCACAGAAAGCATTTCAAATATGTAATCACTTTAACCCCAAATACAGAAACACACTGTAAATACTCAGAACACCCAAATACAGAAACACTCTGCAAATTACTCACAACACAAACAAATACAGAAACACGCTGTAAATACATCAGAACACATCGGAAATGTTTAAAGGAACCGCAAAGTGACGAACATGGTTGGGACATTGCTTATCAATGTTTGCTCTGAAAGGTGAGGTTTTTGTTTATTTTAACATCCTGATCAATACGCAAAAATAAATAAAAATAAATAAATAAAATAAATTAAAAAAATGTGGTACTTTTAACCATGGTTAATTTTAGTTTTGTTGGCATTGCTGTTTGGCATTGTTGTAGTCTGTGCTACTTGCAATGCGTTTTTGTTTTTAGTTGTGTTGTGAGAATAAAGATGATAAAGATGTATTCTTAATTTGATGGTGCTTTTTCTATCTGCATGTGTTTTATTAAGTTGCAGTGCATTGTCTGTCGGCCACCATACAATAAGCTTTTCGGCAGTACAACATAGAAATGGTAAACGATCGAAAGATCACAGAAAGCATTTCAAATATGTAATCACTTTAACGTGTCACAGTTGGTTAGGACGAAGTAAGTCTAGGTAATGGGAATTTGATGTACTAGACTATTTATGTACTATACTATACTATTTAATGGCCATGATATGAAACAGTTTGTGAGATTCAAATGATCTAAATATAAAATACAATTTTATATAACATTTCAATAGATACAATTGCATTCAAAATTTCTGTGACACTTTGTTGTTGTGAAATGTTAGTGGATCATGTTCATAACTAAATGTGATGGACTACACCTGGTTACTCTGCTCATCTTAAGTGTCCAAACACTTTTTGGGGTAAAATTAAGCAAGGAATTAAAAAAAAAAAAATCGCATATCATAACAAAAGTGTCCAAAAAACGACAGATTAAAAAGGTTCAATGTGCAAAAAAAATCACTTCTAGCTGTGTGACTGCAACAAATACCTCAGCTGAGACTTGAGCGGAGAATGCTCACCCACCCACACACACTCCAGCTCTCTTACACACACACACACACACACACACACACACAAATTACACACTCATTGCCCCCGCACTGAAGAGCGCATGCGCTCCCACATACATTCACACACAAACGGATTCTGACCTCCTGCTGCTACAGGTAAAACCACTCGACTCCAAATACAAAAAACGTGGCGACACGGCATACATGAATAGCCTCAGATTCAAAAGTGTTTAATAAGAAGCCAGATGAGAGAAAGAAAGATTAGGAGAGGTGAAGAAAGACTTGAGGAAAAAAACTTCAATCTCTGAGAGAGGCTGATTGCAAACGAGTGTGTGAGCGAAAGACAAGGAGCGATAGATAGCAAGTGTGAGAGAGAAAAGTGAGGGAACGTGTAGGTGGACACCCTTCCTTAGACACAGCCAACAGAGCCCTTTGAACAGAGGGGAAAAAACAGTTGTGAAATACCACGAGAGGAAAAGCCTTCAGAAAGAGAGTGAGATAAAGAAAATGTGCTTCTTTCAGTGACTAGACGCTTTTGCAACTGAAAGTGTACACAACGTAATATCGTCAAACACAATGTTGTACGACTGATATCAAAGATGAACTATCAGACAAAGTAAATCTGGTGCACAATGGAAAGTCAACTTTGAGTATAATGAAAAAAAAAGGTTTTAAAATTAAAACTGAGTATTGAAGATCTCCACACCATTTATACAACTACAAATCTTGCATAGAATTGCATTGAAAAATATCTTAGAGAATTGGGATGAGAATTGGACTCTTTTGAACACCCTAGCAACAACCCAAAACACCCTGACAACATGCTAAAACACACAATAGCTTAAAGTGATAGTGAAAATTCCATCATCATTCGCTCAACCTCATGTTGTTGACTTTCTTTCTTCCATGGAACACAAAATAAGATATTTTGAAGAATGTTTGAACTGCTTTTGTCCTTACAATGAAAGCCAATGGGGTCCAAAATAAATTCAGACCCCGTTTTAATGTTTGGGGGTGGGGGGGAAATAAACTCAAACACTTTTCAAAATATTTTCTATAAATATAATAAAGCAATATGAAGCAGAACAAATGATGACAGAATTTTCAACAGGACAAATTGTCCCTTTACCATCTCCAAAATAAATTTAAAAAAATCTTGTGTTAACAACTACATTAATTGAAGTCAAATTATTAACATCACCAAACACCAACAAAACTAAATTTAGGGGTTAGATCGGGCACTAATTAGGGTAACAATTGTGGGTTACCATGTTCCACAAGTACTACTCACAGGATATGTTTAAATCTATTTGTATATTGTTATATACCTATTTGAGCAACTACCGTGAAAGATGAAATAAAAAAAACATAAAAAGGCAGTGTTTCCGATCTTGTTTGGATTACTTGTACATGGCAGACAGAAAAAAATATATAGGCCTGCAATATTTGTGAAGCAGCATGAAAACCACATATATGAGAAGGGCTGTAAGATAAATATCATCAACATCAGCATGTAGTTTGTATGTGACGTTGGTGTGCTTATGTGTACTAGAGTGTGCGTTTACTGCCTCACCTTACACTCTTCTCATAGACTTTTGTGCGATATACTTCCTCCTGGTCCAAACTGATTGTACAGAAGGTGCAGAGGTCACGGAGGCGGTTCGGCCCTGAGCTCGGACCCAAATTCTTTCCTTCGCCTGCCGAGAGAAGCATAACAAGGGTGTAAGAAGTCACACAATATTATTCACATTATTTCTCCCAAAAGTTGAAATCCCAATGTGTGGAAAAGCTGAGTTTGTACACCGCTCTCTTGGATACTTGTTTCTGACATTCAGCGGTCAAATATTTTCATACACTGACTGATATTCTAATTGATCTTTGTCCCAAACAATCAATTTCTAATAGACATAAAACTGATAGCTGTGCTAGTTTCATGCGTCACGTCACTCTGTGGTCTCTTTGTTCTCACAGAATGCAATGTTTACAAAATAAAGTTTCAAATAGATAGATATAAAAGTAAATATAAAACATATATTAAAGGTACCATATTGTACACCTTTCTGGAGTTTTATTTTAGGTTTTGATGTCCTTAAGAATAATCTGGTTTCGACATGTTTCTGTGTTGTCGTTGCTCAGCAATGGCAAAAGGAGAGTGGGACGGTGGGCGGTGCTCGGGGTGGTGACTGAAGGTGGTGACTGTAGTTCTAACGTCAACTTTTTACGTAAGTCACAACGGTTCGTGAAAAATCACAGCTACTTTATGCAGGCTGTGTGCATTTTATTGTGGACTGACTGTTTTGAAACTTATATGGTAGTTAAATAGCCCCTAGGCCTCAGTTATCATGAAAAAAGCCAGGAAATTTCAGTTTTGACAATATGGGACCTTTAAACATACAGTGTCTATGCAAGTTTGCATACAAAAACTGTAGACTTACCACATGTTCCGAATCATACCGGTGGATTTATGGATAGTTTTTGAATGTGGTGCTCAAAACTATTTGTAACAAAATAGTTATTGTGAAAAAAGTATGAAGACACAAGCGAAGGATGAGGTTTGAGAGTGAATGAAGTAAGCGGTCAGAAGGTTATGTGTCAATGAGTGTGAGCCACAAGTTTTAAACAACCTCAGCTTGTTTGCTACCTTTAAAGGCCCCATGAACTCACTTGACGAAGACACTTGACAAAGGATTTTTGGGGTGAAACATATCAAAGAGCTTGTTTTATTTTTTTAAATAGCCAACAGACTTCACGTCACGGCTCGCAAAATTAAAGTTTGCTACATACTATACTATTGCTAGTAGGTTTAATTGGACAACATTTTAGACACGCCCATAAGTGCATGATGAGTCATCAATATTTATTTTTTTTCTAGAGAAAGATAACTTTTAGCTGTATGCAAGCCTTATTATGACCTCCAAACTACAAACAGTGTTGGGAAAAGTTACTTTTAAAAGTAACACACGACGCGATGCGACGCCACGCGATAAAAGGTATCTTTTCCATGTTAATCAGAGGTTTTGTCCTAACTAGCCGCGACAGCGACACACTAATTTAGAAACGTTTCTATTTCCGCAACATCACGGCTGGAACAACAACATACAAACTATAGTAGATAATTTCAGGTGATTACGTGCTTTATTCTAAGTATCATACCGGTGGATTTATGGATAGTTTTTGAATGTGGTGCTCAAAACTATTTGTAACAAAATAGTTATTGTGAAAAAAGTATGAAGACACAAGCGAAGGATGAGGTTTGAGAGTGAATGAAGTAAGCGGTCAGAAGGTTATGAGTCAATGAGTGTGAGCCACAAGTTTTAAACAACCTCAGCTTGTTGCTACCTTTAAAGGCCCCATGAACTCACTTGACGAAGACACTTGACAAAGGATTTTTGGGGTGAAACATATCAAAGAGCTTGTTTTATTTTTTTAAATAGCCAACAGACTTCACGTCACGGCTCGCAAAATTAAAGTTTGCTACATGCTATACTATTGCTAGTAGGTTTAATTGGACAACATTTTAGACACGCCCATAAGTGCATGATGAGTCATCAATATTTATTTTTTTTCTAGAGAAAGATAACTTTTAGCTGTATGCAAGCCTTATTATGACCTCCAAACTACAAACAGTGTTGGGAAAAGTTACTTTTAAAAGTAACACACGACGCGATGCGACGCCACGCGATAAAAGGTATCTTTTCCATGTTAATCAGAGGTTTTGTCCTAACTAGCCGCGACAGCGACACACTAATTTAGAAACGTTTCTATTTCCGCAACATCACGGCTGGAACAACAACATACAAACTATAGTAGATAATTTCAGGTGATTACGTGCTTTATTCTAAGTTAAAGGTCTCTAATATGAATTTAAATATAATTTTGTGTGACCTTATAGCCATAATGAAAGCAACAATATATAGTTTACCTCAGATCAAATAAATTAAAGCAAAGATGACCGTTAAAACTGTGGACTCACTGTGAACCAACGAGTGTATTCCATGACAGAGATGGTGTCAGTCACTCAGTATGTACATTTAATGATGTTAAAAAGGTTTAATATTTATGAATCAGATTATAAATGTATCAATTTCGTTGCGAGTGCAGATCGCTTGCAGAGAGAGCCCGCCCACACACGCTTCTGATTGGCTGTGATATTTGATTGACTCGGTCGCGTCGCGTCTGGTGTGGACGGCCAAATTGCTTGTCGCTGGAATCTTATCGCGTTGCGTGTAGTTAGGACACGGTGTAATGCATTACAATATTGAGTTACTCCCTAAAAAGTAACTAATTACGTTATTTACAGTAGTTACTTTTTATGGAAAGTAATGCGTTACGTTACTTTTTAAATCTGGGCAGGGCTTGTTTGTTTGGTTTTAATAAAAAAAGTTCTATTTTTGGCAAATGTAAATGCCCTTTCACTAGGGTTGGGTTGGGTATGTACTAGAACCGAATCAGAACGCAGATTTCGGTGTCTCATTTCTTAAATGCTTGAGCGATCAATTGAAATATTTGATCTCCGAAACGGACGTAAGGATCACCGGCACCGCACGTGAAAAATAATTTCTCGACTGAGAAGTCGGAAAGCTCTAATAATACAAATCCAACACATCTTTGTAGTAACGCGAGTGTCCATGTTGTTCACATTCCGACTTAAAAGCACGGAGATGAGCAAGGAAAAGCAAGGAAATGAGAGCATCCGAGGAGCGCGTGAATGCAGCAATTACACTTGCTCTGATGGTAGCAGGTAGATACTGTTAGCTACTTAAGCTAAACATTCTTAAATTAAATGTCTAAAGCTAAATTTCCCTTGTAATGACTTGAAATGAGAAGCGTTTCTAAACCTGTCCAACTTAATTATGATGAAAATACCAAAGATGGCTTGAATAACACAGATTAACTATATATTGTCGCAGTCGAGTGTTTATTGTCTTTGTTTTATCATTCAAAACATTTATATCTTCTGTTTACTCAGTTACAGCAATAGCAATGCCTTTGTCCATATTACCAAAGAGGATTTGAGTCCTATTACTTCTGTGATGCACATGTGGATTTTCTGCGCGAGGGCGCCCTCTGGCGTCCAGTATGAATGAAACAGACATTAAATGTGTTTATAGCGCTCAATAATGGCCAATCCATCCTATTTTGAGCATTTTTAAAAAAAAATTTAAGTATCGGTTCAGGCACTGTTTAGGCACCAGTACCGTTTTAAAAGTATCGATTTGGCACCGGTATCGTAAAAAACCCAAACGATACCCAACCCTACCTTTCACACCAAAAGCTGAAGGAAAAGTAAATTCACATTTGTACAGTAGAATGCGGAAGAAAGTTTAACACTCTTCAGCAAAAAAAATAAAGAAAAAAAAGAACATAGTTTACCTTGAATTGGATTATCGAAGGTCAGCAGAAAAGACATTGATTAATAAAATGAGATTAAATACATAGGATATTTGTATTATTTAACAGTTAATTATTGAAGATTTGCGTCATATTCTGACTTGTATTTCTCTGTTTTTATTCATTTTGAGCAATACTGAATCTGTATTTTTTTTTGTGAGTGAGATGAATTAATGCATGTTCACATTTATTCTAGAACTAAAGTAACATCTTACTCCCGATTTCTCTCAACATGGGGACAGGAGAGCTTTTAATCAATAAATGGGGAAAAAAAACTAACTGGACTTACTTATTTGAAATAGTAACTCAGATATTTTCTTGTAAATTAAAAAGTAATGCGTTACTTTACTAGTTACTTGAAAAAAGTATTCTGATTAAGTAACTTGCATTACTTGTAATGCGTTACCCCCAACACTGCTAACAAACATGAACTAAAACCCACAAAACGCCGAAACTGATTTCATACCCACTACAGGAAAACAAACGGTTGTATAGTGGTTTAAATATAATAGACTACCACATTTGTCTAGGACTGAAATGTTCTAATAAGGGCATCAGAATTGGTTGACACCGGAACAATGCGGCCATTATAAAGTCGTAAGAGTGTGTTGTAAGATGGTCCTCATAGAGCCAGCCCTTAGTTCCTCTTTGTCGGCTGTTATTAGTAAACTACTGAATTCTTCACAGTTCTCCAACCCATCACAACATGCAAACATTTCCTCCTGCTGCTTGTATATGTGCACGCACACCTGCTGATAGCCGGTGCTGGTGACCACATGTAAATGTGGCCGTTTGTGTGCAAAAAGAGGGGAAAAGAAAAGAAAAAGATAACATCAGACTCGGAGTGAGCAAAGAAGTATTTTAGTCCATGAGGGTACCAATTAGTACACTACACTTTCCAATGGAAAGATTCATGGCTCAACGTCTCACAAAAAAAAGTTTACCAATGCAAAGGTACTTTTAGAGAATTTTAAACATATTGCTGTTCAGAATAGTTTTCAGCATGCAGTTCAGGTGTTCAGAATAGTTTTTAGCATGCTGATAGGTCTTCTGAGTGGTTTTAGCATGTTTAGCATCTGTATTGTCATGACATTCCCTTTTAAAGCTGCCTGATATTAAAGAAAAATAACCTATCCGAATTAGGGAATTGTATAATATTATTAATGCTGACATGTATTTAATGTATTAAAGGTGTAATGGAATATAATTAGTTTGTGTGCGTGTGTGTGATTAAGCTGTAGCATTTGTGCATTTATACAAAATGTATTTAAACTACTGTTTTTCATACAAATACCTAGAAACCACATTTTAAACATGGTATTGAGGTGCTGTATGTGTGGCTTTGACTGTGGTCATCATGATCTAAATATATGCTGCTATAGAAGACCAGTGGAGTTAATAATGAACCAATGAATGTTAATAAAACTCGAACAGTCAGAATAATTACATTTCACCATATAAAAATGAATGAATAGTGTTCCCTAATCTAAAGTGTTACCTTCTGATCATTTCCTCCTGGCATATTTTGGGCCCAAATCTGAATTAACTTTTTTTAAGATATAAGGGATTTAATTACTTTAGCAGGTGAATATTATAGCAGGAATTAAATCAATAGCATCATAAGTGCTGCATGCACAGAATGGTTTAATTGTGTTTATTGAGGCCGTAACCCAATTTGTGGTTATGCGTGGTGTTGACATACATCCAGATTAGGACACTTACATGGACAAAGACATCACTGCAATGTGACGCACTGCACACAGTGACCTACGTACTCATAAAAGTCATTCTGAAACCTTGGTGTGCTTTTGTGAATGAAAAAGCCTTTGAGCTGTATTCATTCACCTTACGGACCAATGGCCAGTAGCCATTATTACATATAACTGTTGTTGTCAACCAACTACAAAACACTAGTAAACAAATGAATGCCTTTATCCTTTCATAAAAATGGCTGACGACGAGAGCCAACCACACCATGTATTTAGACAAGTGTGTTAATGCAGAACCTACAGACTGACTGCACAACTATAACATTTCGCTGATCAATTGTTCAGTGTCACGTCAGTCACGCTGTCCCCTTTGAGATTTTTATACAATTTGATTTGATAGCACATGATTGATATCATGGGATGGGACATGTCTCTGTTAACAGTGTCATTCAGTTTGTGTTACCCTGATTTGCCCTGAACCTCATTGTTTGGGCAAGGGCAAGCAAAGGACTGAGTAGGAAGTAGTTTGATCGAAGACTTTAGTTAAGTGCAATAAAAAAAAAAAACAGTTCTTCAGGAAGGCTCAGGCATTTTTAACAACCAGACATATAACCTCTTTTTTTGTTTTGTTTACTAAAAAACTTAAAATTACAGGAAAGTCAGGTCAAATACTGTAAAAGTAAACAGTACCTGGTTTCTTCCCTAAGCATTTATAGTACCTAATAGGTACAAAAGTGTACCTTTTGAAAAGTACCACCCCTTTTGTACCTTTTATTTGAGTGTATATAGTCTATTTTAGTGTAATTCTGTCAGATCATATGAAACAAAATGTTATGATTTTATAAACATACTGTCACTCCAAACTACATCGAATTCACATAACAGTAAGTTATTCACTCACATTGTTTATTAGTATTATCGCTTTACTATACACGTTATTGGAACTGGCCTGAGGTTGGGACTTTCAAGTCATACAAATACCCTAAAAGTCCCAATTACACACTGACTTCCAAAAACTCCGTCTCTGAATGCCCCCACATCCCCAGTGCAGACAGCTGTTTTAGTACAGTAGCAAACGCAAGTTACAGAGCTGTTACTGTAATCAGAAAAGCCTACCCTCATCCAGGTGGAAAGATAAAAGCGATGACTTTCACACAATCATACGCATGCACACACAGTTGTAAAAATGGACATAAAGGGCTGTACATAAGACTTAAAACTGAAATAGATCTCGATAGAGATTTTCTGACATGCTTTCAGGTATCAGAGATACTATATCTGTGTTATTTATTTATTTATTTTTAGGTTTGCTGAAAATACAACAGATTTTGTACTTGTAACACAGGACATTTTTTTCATTACATTATTTTTTCTTTCTATACTCTCGTAAAATGAAGACCTACTCCACTTCACATGAGTTATGGAATATCATGTGGCTATGAGGCTTCCAGCGAGCTTTCCAGAGAGTGATGATTTACCACGAAGTTACTTGCAACACAGAAAGTTTCGGTTCAATTTTCTTGTTGTTGTTTTTTTGTATTTTGGTGGGTGAGGGGTCGGAGACAGTAAAAAGATAAGCACCAATCATTTTGACTGTTAAGAAAATATCTCCCCAAAAAATTGAGTTTAAATTTAAATCATCTCAGTCTATTCAAAACACCTGACATCCCAAAATTATATTTCAGATGCACAGCAATCTTTCATTTGCCCCGATAGTGTCAATATCAGCCGTCATGTCATATCCTTTACAAAAAAATTGTCCATGTATCAAATGTACAATTTATACTAATTGTATCCAACAGTAATATCACAGAACATGCAATTGTCTTTAGTTAAAAATGTAATTCAAATGTTTTTACACGAAGAACATGTTCAGGTTACTTGACAAAACATTTTTACAATGTACTGTGAAATATGAAGAATGGCGATGATACACGCGTACATTGCAATTGAAATGATCCTTAAACAATAACCTGTTATTACTGTGGTAGCATGCCCAAAATAATATGGCAATACCACGGTATCATCTCCAATGATCATTGTAGTTTTATGGTACTTTGTTGTGATTCCTTGGTACAAATAGAAAAAAACTCTTACAATTTATATAAGCAACCTGGCTATACTGAGTTATAAAAATCAATCCTAATAAGGGTCAGATTGAGTAGGAAGGAATACCTTCATATTTGATTTTTACAGTATAAATACATCAAATACCCTAACAGAAAATATACCATAGTTAACTCAGCTAGTTACTACGACTGTAAGTCAGAATACATTTAATGTGGGATGTTCTGCAAAGAGTGTTAAATAAAAAAAAATGAGTTAAGAAGCTCTCTGTCATTTTAAAAAATATATTTATTAAATGACAGTAATTTAGCTGCTAATACCAAGTGACCAAAGTGTCATTGTACAAATTGTAATATATATATATATATATATATGATTTTTAATCTACGGTACGTAATTTGAAATATATACTTTAAATGAGTTAAGAAGCTCTCTGTCATTTAAAAAAATATATTTATTAAATGACAGTAATTTAGCTGCTAATACCAAGTGACCAAAGTGTCATTGTACAAATTGTAATATATATATATATATGATTTTTAATCTACGGTACGTAATTTGAAATATATACTTTAACGTTACAGCTATTGCGTTACCGTTTATATAATACCGAATATACTATATTACGCTATTAAATATCGTTTAAAAAAAAAATTACAAATATGATAATTATCTGTGGCAATGTTCGTTTACTTAAAGCGAAGCAACAACTTCCGTCCAGCTCAGAATTTGTCAAATTTCGCCGAGGATCCCACCGTCTCTATCACACCCTCAGTCCGGGTAAGAATGAATCAACCATCCGCCAACTCCAGTGGCATTAAGACGGGTTTGGTTAAAACGGGTAAATAAAGAACAATATTTCACTCTTGTACTAACTTAAAAGTGAATAAACACGACGGCTGTGAGAAGGAACCAGGGTATTGAGCACGTTAGCACCACTGCTAACTCACAGATAATGGGCAAAACCCTGAGCTATATCTGTCACTGGTGATATAAAGACGATTTAAACGTAAAATATCCTAAATTAAGTGAACTACTTATCCAAACTGTTCGCAAAATGTGGCAAACGGCGCTGGTTTCTCACAGCCCCATCCAGTAGCGCTGTGTGAGAGTGTGTATGTGTGCGTGTTGCTCCTACCGCGCCCCTCTTTCCCCCGTGCTGATCCTTTTCTTTCTCTCCCAAAGCCATCTAAACACACTCTTCCACACACACACATCTAACTCGCTATCCAAGCAGCGTGTCGCACTTACATATTTTTCCTCGGAGGCTCTGCAAAATCCGGATTTTCGTGTCGTCTTCTTCCGCCATGGTCCAAGTTTCGTCTCTGTACAGTACATTCAACACTTATCACATCCGTTTATGAATGCAGGCGCACGGACGGACGGCCCTCCGAAGCGTCACCGGCGCAGCGCGATTGGTCGCGACGCCAGACCGGGATTTGTGTGAATCAACTACTCACACAGGCAACATCATGCAGTCAAAACAAACGGAAGCCCTAGTGGAGGACGAGCGACAGAGCAGATGAACGGGGGCCCCTCGAAAGAAACCCGGTGACTTGTGTTTTAAAACCTAGTGAGCTGACTGCCTAAAGAGCATTTTAGCCTTGTCAAGTTACACTGCTCACCAGGTTTTTAAACGGTCTTCGTGGATAGTTTGGAAATCAGTACAAATCTGTTAGCTAGTGGTTTGTATTTAAATTATTTCAACTTTGTCTGTCCTTTTAAAGCCATTTTAAGATTAATGCTGCCCCACACAGTAGCCTATCACCTGAAAAAAAAAAACATTGAATATTGAAATACTGAAAAAACACGTTAATAGTAAAACTTTGCCAAGTGTATGCACCATCCATGGTTTGTGTGGTTACATATTTTTAAAACATTGTGTATTTATTTATTTTACTTTTATGAGCCAGTATAACAAAATTACTGTATAATGTGATAATAATAATCATATTATAATACTATAGTATTGCCAAAAATCAGACTATATACCCTTTTTAAACTGTGAAAATGCATTTTCAGAACAAGTAACATCTGAAATCAACTTTTTAAAAATATATTTTCATCATTTAATAGCAATAATAATAATAATAAGCGCATTTATAGCAAATATCTTGTGCTATATTAGCCTAGTATTAAATTACAATATTGTCAACACTACTGCAGCTGGAAATTTGACATCTTCCTCTCTTCTGACTGCCATAATTCATCTGTTTGTTTGTTTTTTTATTTTTGGAAAGTTGTGTAAACAAAATTGGAACATCATAATTTTGCTATGGTCTCATGAGGATTACCCTGCTATAGTTTACTTCCACATTCCAAACCGGAGAAAATCATCCATTCCATTGGTATTTAACAAATTACAAATTTTATGTCATTGTACTCTGATTTCTTAGCCCATGCTGTCAGTGTCTCTAAAGATTGGTCCAGTGGATGATGGTTATCAGCAATGTCTCTAAGATTTGTTTTTGCTCTGAAAAACCTTTCTGTTGAGCAGGAATTTTATGTATATTACCTGTGCAGAGCTGTTAATTTCTTTATTAGTATATTTGTTAGGGCATTATACTGTATATATGATCTGTCAGATTTAAACTGTGGAATAAAGTGAAAACTTATGAAGTGTTGCACCTTTGCTTTTGTAAACTTGTCAAATTTGTAGACTTCAAATGTCACAGCATTGTGTTTAATATAAAATTACTCCTTTGTAACATATTGTCTTTGTATTACAATCTCAACTTGAATGTTCACTAGCCTAATATTTGAGTAGACTGGCAGATGTTTTCTGATGGATTAGGCATGCAAAACCGATAAGTAGCTGATAGGCTGTCTGGTGGAGTTTTTGAAAAATGTAAAACAAAGTTCAGGTACAGATGAATGAAGTACCAGACATTCCCTGATGACCTGGAATGAATGAAAACCTTCACAGATATACTGATAGGCTTTCGGTGTTGGGCACAAACCTGCTACCAGCATATCTCCATGGAGTTGACGGTGGTGGAGAGTTCAGAACATCTGGCACTGGTGTCACGTGGGCCCAGACAGGACACTGAATGCGGCATTGTGTGGAGGACCGACAGAGAAACTGGAATGAGCTTCTCAGATGGGTCAGCATGGAGGCCCAAAGAGATAGTGAGAGAGACAATCTGAATGAATAAACAGAGTTCCCTCTTACAAGTCTGCAATTTCAGGAGAAAGAGGAGCTCTGAGCTCTGTTTCACTCATTCTCTTTCTGGCTCTCTCTCGAATGTTTCATATTTTTAAATTGTATAATTTATGGATTCTAATATGATATTTAAAAATTTGAATGTGATGAAATATACTTGTGTTCCAATTGTAGAAAACTGGCATTTGATATTGAGGAAACCCAGCCAACATTGCAATAAACCTTAAGTCAATTGTAGAAGCAGTTTTCAATGTGCCACAAATGAAAACAAGGCAACTGTGTCGCACTTAAAAAATTACCTATTTGTAATATGTAAACATGTCATTTTAAACATGGTCTGTGAATATATCCTATGGACTGTCTGTTGATCTTTTCAGCCTTGTTTTCATTTGTGTTAAATTTAATATGTCCATATTTAATAAGTCCATAACTGTGGTTAACATTATTACATTGTACTATATTACAACAATTTTAATAGTTATATACTTAATAACATGACTCATGTTATGTGTTATTTATGTTACTGTATTTTTTTATTTCATGATTTGTTGTATTTCACAAAATTATGTAATTTTATAAATGAAAGGTAAAACATTTGGTATATTCTGGAAAATAATTTTTAGCATTTATCAGTATAATGCATTTTTGTGCAACAAACAGATTGAAATGGTGGTAATAGTGTTATGTTAAAATAAAAGTACAATCACTCGCAGTTATCTTTACTGTAAGGTGCTGCTAGTCATTCACTTTACTTGATGCATAGAGTACAACACAATGAGCAATGGAATAGGGAAGATCCACTTGACTTAGACAAATAAAAACGTATAAAAATAAAACCACTTCTTTTCTCATAGAAAAACATGGAAAACTACCAATAGTGTTTCATGTGAACGACCAAAAATACTCTATATTTACATCTCACGAGTTCTCTTGAATGCAAAGTCACTATGCCAACCTCCTCATACTTTCATGTGCGTTTTTTCTCTATTTTTCAAACGTCGTAAGGCCTGCCCTGTCACTTATGTCATTCTTCATGTGACATCAGCAGGAGATGCATTTCCTTCCTGTCGTGGGTGTGAAAACATGGTTCCTCTTTGCAGAAATGCTGTTCTGACTTGAGCAACTGTAGGCTGTTGGGAAGTTCCTTTGGTTACAGGCATTCTTGGCTGACAGATTGGTCAGCACTTTACTTGGTTGTACCTGTGTTGTGAGGTCAATCCTGTTTTCCCCATATCACAGAGTCCTGTCTGTGCCCCTCAAATCCAAATCCTTTAGAACGTTCCAAAATGCTTTTTTTCTTGGACGTCTTCCTCTTTATTTCTGGGGAAAGGGGACTAAAAGACCTATCTGCTGCATAAGGAAATGACAAAGATGTTTTCTTGAAGACACTGTCGATTGTAGGATAACTCCCCTCAGTTTCTATATCCATGGGTTCCCCTATCTTTGGCTTTATCTCTGAGCTGGTATACATGCTTTCCCAAGGCTCGGGTTTGATCTGTCCTTTGCGCTCTTTACCTGTAGAAAGTGAACTGGTTATTTTACATGTCATGTTTGGATCTTTTCCATCTTCTACCTTGAAGTGCTTGCTCTCGTGCACACTCAACAGCACTGCTGATTTACATACCTTTGAACAATACCTGCAATTTTGTCCTTCACCTGACTTTTCTAGATGTTTTTTCTCATGACTTTTCTTGGTGGCAAGGTAAAGGAATCGCTGTGGGCAGTAAGAACATCTATAACGCTTTTCCATGCTCAGGCTAGGAGACCTCATATCTGAGCTGAAACAGGAGCCATCCTCTGTGCAGCTCTTGCAGATAAAGTCACCACTATCCTCTCCAGTGGGCCCAGCTGTGCTGGATGTGTCTTCAGGGGGACATTGTTTACCACATATTCTGCAGTGTGGCTGATGGCAGCTGATAATGTGCATGCTGAGGGAGGTCTGGTTAGAGAAAGAACTCTCACAGGTGTGGCAGGGAAAAGCTTCCTTTTGGCTGCTATGCCTTGGCTCCCTCCTGACCCCGTAGTTGTCTGCTGAGATCCTCTCATCTGGACAGAACGGTGTCTCTCTGAAATCTTCATTGGCTTCAGGTGACAAGGGCCTAGTGTAGCATCTCAGATGTTTCATCCTTCTTCGTTTTCCTTTCAGTTTCTTACTCTTCTTTTTAGGTCTATATGTGTAATAGGGACGCCATAGTTTGTCGGTTTCAGGATCATTTGGGTCATCACATGTTTCATTTTCTGTAACTGAGGTTGTGAGTTCTGCCCTCACCCTTAAACTTGGACTTCCAATACTCTCCTCTGTAGGGCTTCTTTGACCTATGCCCTCTTGTCTCCAGCTTTTCCTTTTCCTCTTTTTTGGAAATAGCTTTGAGCCTTTTATTTTTCGTCGAACAATTGCCTCGTTGCCAATTTTCACTGTTATTTGGCAGAGGGGAAGGACTTGGTTGTCAACTGATGGGCCTGGACATGCAGGCTTAGCAATGTACGTTTCTGTCTTTCCACTAGATGGATGATCTGCTGTTATGCTCCCAGGTCTCGCTTGCAGCAACTGATTAGCCATGTCCTCAATGGTTTGTGCTGCTGCTGACAGTTCACTCAGCTTGCTCAACCCTTCGAAGGAGCATACGGATGGTATGTTGAGGAATGGAAGAATGTCTGTGCTGTTTTCTGCGTTTTTCTCTGTTGGAGAATCTCCGTCACTTCCATGCACAATCAGAGAGGACCCTGTGTTTTTCTGTATTGCTTTTGAAGAATCTGTAAATCTGTAGCTGAAGAGCGATGACCCTTTTCCATCAAATCCAGACTTTTTCCTGAAATCAGTAGAGAGGTGTTTCAGGGGTTGGTCTGTCTCAGATGGCACAGGAAATCCTTTGTTTTGGTCACACGGTTTGTCAAAGCTGATGCGAGGCGTTTCTGATGCCATAATTTTCGGAGTGGCCATGAATGTCACTGGCATTGAAAATAAGGACTGACTACTAACAACATCTGAATTAGTTGTCGGTACTGTGCTGTCAAAAAGAGTGTTGGGGGAACAGCTGTCCAGAGGTGCACTGTAGGACTCATCATTGCCCTCGATCCCTTCAGAGTATGTCTGACTGTATGACTTGTAATGTTTCTTTCTAAACTTCATCGGGAGAAGCCTGTAAAGCTTTATAGGGTAGACACTACTCTTGAATCCACCATTTGCTGATTTTTTATTGACAGCCAGCTGTGGATCAATGCCATGAAAGGTCTTCTGGTGATTCTTGAGGATGTAATAAGTCAAGAAGGTCTCCAAGCAGAAAATGCACTGGTACCGGCGTTCCCCGGTATGCCAGATCTCATGCTTGGTGCGGTATTCAGCCAGAGCAAAAACTTTGTTGCAGTAGTGGCAAGGATAGGCTCTATGCCATGAGTGCACATTCTCATGTCTTTTTAGGCTAGAAAGGGTCACATAAGCCCGTTTGCATACAGAACATTTATAAGTCCTTGAAGTGCTATTTGTTTTTAAGGTCCCATTAATTTGATCTTGAGACATGTCAAGGGGACTAGTCAATGTGGGTTCTAAATTTAAAGGGATATGGAGATCTGGTGGAGGTAAAGAGTGCTGTGTGGTATTTGCATTAGATGTACCGTTAGAGAC